GAAGGAACAAGTGCCAAGGCTGCCTTCTCCAAGCCCTGGAGGGGATTATTCCTCCAGAAGAGAGGATGAAGGCTGCTGCAATGGGCACACAACACCAACACACCAACACACACCCACAAGAAGACAAACACACAGAGGCTGGCTCTCCTGTGCCACCTTTTCGCGCCAGCCCTGCCAAGCCTCGCCGTCTGCAAGAATTTCTTTTCCAAACATCTTCCTAGACTCAAAAAGCCTGAGCTCAGGGTGACCAGAGGTCCTCCGCCGCAAAGGAGGAGGAAAAGGCACCGCCAAAATGGAGGACCCTCAAGAAAAGGGAGGACATGACCAAAGAAAAGCTAAACAAACAAAGAAACCAAATGTAAATGCATGCTTCTGACTCTGAGTCCTGCTCCAAATAGAGGACATACTAGTGGGATTCCTCCTGGACAGAAAAGCCTGAAATGTCCTGGAGAAGAGGCCCTTAACCGCAAAGAAGGACCAGGCCCCGCAAAATGTAGGACGTGCAAGAAAAAAATGTAGGGCATTACGAAGATAAAAGCTAAAAAACATTCACAGAAATGTAAATTCACGCTTTTGGAATTCCTCCTGGACAGAAGGCTGAAAGGTAGGGCGTGTCCGGGAAAAGGAGGAGGACCTCTGGTCGCCCGGTATGTCCTACATGAGCCATGGTCCGGAGTTTGTTTGTTTTTTGGTGGGGGACAGTGTTAGGGAGGAAATCAGCCTTTCAAAATAAAGGTTGTTTTTGTGTGCCCTCAAGTCGTTTCAGGTCATGGGTTTTTCTTGGCAAGGTTTCTTCAGAGGAGGTTTTGCCATTGCCTTCTCCCGAGGCTGAGAGAGTGTGACTCGGCCAAGGTCACCCAGTGGGTTTTTATGGCCGAGCGGGGATTCGAACCCAGAGTCGCAGCCCTGCGCCAGGCCGGCTCTTCAGGGATTAAAAGACACAAAGTGAAAGCAAAAGCAAAAGCGACGATGCACACAAGGCCAGGGAGGGAAGGAGAAACAGGGAGCTGTTGACCAGATAGATATGTATTCACCGCAAAGGAGGACCAGGCACCACAAAATGGAGGACAGGCCAGAAAAAGGAAGGACATTCCAAAATAAGAAGCTAAAAACACTCAAATCCATGCTTCTTAGAGGACATTTTAAATCCATGCTCCAAATAGAGGACATTTTAGAATTCCTCCTGGACAGGACATGTCCGGGAAAAGGAGGACGCTCTGGCAGAGAGAGAGAGAGAGAGAGAGAGAGTTGGCTTAGGAGGAGAAGGGAAGAGCCCTTAAGGTCTGGCCCGGCATTAAAGGATCCGGGTTACTACTGGGCCAGAGAGGAGACCCAGCTCTTTTGCCCTTTTAAAGCTCCTGGGGATTCTGGGCACTGTTTTCCCTTTGGCACCCCTCCTTTCGCCTCCATCCCTCCAGGAGCAGCCAGAAATTCTTCCCCAGCCTCCATCAGTATGTTGCTCCTTTCACATGAACAGCAACAACAACCACCACCAATCACCCAGCCATGCCGTTTGTGTAAATCTGCAATAAATAATGCTTTTTTTTTTTTTAATGTTAAAGAGAAGTGTATCGTAATCAAAATCTTTAGGGGCAGGATGGAATGGAAACTGAGAAGGCTTTGGCAGTAAACAATCCAGCGCTCATTCCTCTGCCTCCTTGCTTTGCCATTCATCGGAGGCACCCGGTTCCTGTTATTGAGGATATATCTTCACACACACACACAGTTATGCCAAAAAGAGACAAAAAGGGCTGCATCCGCACTGCAGAAATAATCCACTTCGACACCGCTTGAACAGCCTTGGCTCAATACCATGGGATTCCAGGATTTGTCGTTTTGGCAGACATTTAGCCTTCTCTGGTCCGAAACACACTGCAGAAATAATCCACTTTGAGACCGCATTAACTGCCCTGGCTCAGTACTAGAGAACTCTGGAAACTGTAGTTTATTGTGGCACCAGAGCTCTCTGATAGAGCAGGTTCAATGTCAGACAAAACTACAGCTCCCAGAATTCCCTAGCATTGAGCCAAGGCCTTTAAAGCAATCTCAAACTGGATTATTTCTGCAGTGTGCTTTGAGCCTCTGTTAGAGAGCTCTGGGGCCACAACAAACTACACATCCCAGGATTCCATAGCCATGGCAGTTGAAGTGGTGTCAGACTGGATTATTTCTGCAGTGTGGGTGCAGCCTCAGTTTGGGTGAGTGGGTCAAAGCTGAGTCTGGAGTAGGGAAGATGAGCTCCTGGGGCTTTGGGAAAGTGGGTTGGATTGCAGGAGAGAGGAGAGCAAATGTGTGTTTAAAGCTATCCTATCGACTGCCAGAAATAGTGCACATTAAATTGAGGCACTGCCCTGGCTCA